CTGCTGGGTTGGAGCTCAGCAAAGCCAGGACTGAAGATCGCTGCTCTGGTACATGACCGAGAAGGGCACATCGCCAGCGCTGGCCTCTCGTTTCTTTTAGATTTAACTTGTTCTGCACCACCCCAAAGATTTTTTCCACAGACAGAAGCGTGGCCATCATTTTAAGAGATCCAGAGTTTGAAAGAGGGCCGATGTGTATCTGCAAAAGCATCTGCATTTTCTGTATTATCTGCGTGCGAGATTTACAGCACAGAGATCAGTAGGAAGGGATTACTCTTCAGCATATAATTTCTGCAGCGAGTGTAAGAATAGTCTGACCTTTGTTCCACATGAAGATTCTCAGGCTGAGCAGCGGCGTGAACTTTGTCCCAGTTCCCTTCCCTGGTCACGTGATGTTGTTTTCGAGCGGCTGCTGGCCCGCGATTGGCTCCTGTGTGAAAGTTGCACGCTTGCCAAGTTCAGCCCGAGAAAGAGGAACTAAGATTAGCTGAAGGCGAGTTACTGTAACAACAAAACACGTTGTTCTGAAACGCTGTTAGAGCTGAGGTAGCACCTCTTTCAGAAGGGTGTTCTGCAGTAGTCGTCCCTTCGAATGTCTGCAGCCGTATGCCTTGAACTGGCAATAATCTTGAAATGAGTTATTTTCAAAGGCTGCAATTTCCTACAATTAATAAGGAGTTACGGGCTGGGAGAGCAGCCTCACATTTTAATACTCGATGGACAGTAACAGGTCTTGCAACCACTTTTCAACACCCATCTGCTGTGTCTGTCCACCTTTCTGCTCTCGTTGGTCAAGCAGTTTGTTTGTGGTAGTAGTCAGCTCAATTGTAACAGAGGAAAATGAAAACAAATAGAGATTGTGTCCTTAAATGTGTGACTAAAAGAAACGTACACAGAGCTGGATGCAGGGAGGTGTTCTGAAGTGCGACTCGACTGTCCAGCCGCTGTGTTACTGTAGTGCTGACCTGGCTGGGAGAGAGGGGCTGGCGGTTGTGGCCAGTTTGGTTTGTGCGGGGAGGAGTGTGTAACGTGAGCCCACAGAGACGGCTGGGGCCTCTGTTCTGCGGAGCTGCTGTTGTTTTTGTACTCTGAGCGATTGGAACATTGAGTTCTTAGAGTGCGAGGAGGAGGAGGAGGGGGGGGGGGTTTACATTAAGTGTGGGGAGGTCAGATGACAACCATGCAGCCGAAGCAAACAACCAAGAGCGAATGCAAAGCTGCTTCTTCCGAAAATCCCACCAAAGAGCGACTCTGACCTTCACGCTGTACAGCTTAGGAGACGGCTCCTGTTTGAGAAGCCGATTTAAGGTTCAGCCAAAGTTAATACTCCTGGACAGTTCGGATGAGTGGAGGCCTGAGCTGCAATGTGCTGTCCGGTGTATTGAAATAAATATGACTCGGTTCTCATCAGACATGTAAATGAGTGCAGCTCATTAGCTCAAAGGGAATCCAGAGGTGGAACTATTATTAAGTTACATGCAAACTATTATTAGTGTCGTCATAGAATAGTAAACATGTGGGCCTTTCTTATACACTGTGCCCTGACTTTTATGGTACATGAGGATGTAAATCCAACCCTAATATGGCTGTTGCAATCCAGGAAACTGTGGAATCTGTTTTCCTCCTCGGTGTGCGGTGTCCAGCACCTCTAAGGCGATTGGTGCAGAGAGGGGGTTGGTTTCTTGGGTAGGGGAGGAGACTTGCCCTCTCTCAGTGGTTCAATATTTATTCTACCTCTTCAGGCTGCTCCTTGCTTGCTTGCAGCTGGCAGGAGCTAGATGGCTTTCAAATACATATTTAACAGCATTATCAAAAAAGCGGGCTTCTCTTTCCCAAGCTAAAAGCAGAGCAGGGACGGGCAAAGATTTTAAACCGCACTTACGTCAAAAATAAATTCCTGGACGTATTTGTACATCCCTGAGCTTAAATATTTTTAAATCGATCACTTTCATCGCTGATAGTGACATCTGTGCATCTAATTCAGGTGTGTTCAGCCTGCGCGCCTGATTCTAGGCCAGTGCAAATCTTTACTCAGGCTGTAATGGTGTGGTCTCTGATCAAATTCACTCTCGCGGAGAAAGTCAGGGTCTGTGTCTCTAATGGTGCAGTGCCCCGTGTCCGTGACTGAACTGCATGTTCCTCTCTGTGCACACAGGTATGTCCAGAGCCTGCTGGATCTTCTTGAATTCCTTGACAAGAGTCCAGAAGACCAGAGTATTTTGAGCAAGTAAGTGGGCTTCATCCTGAGAATCTATACTACTGTGCCTGTGTGCAGGTCTGTCGTAATATGTTTTTGTGGTGACTGTACCATTTCCTTTAGGGGTGTGTAAACGGTGTTTTGGATGTATTCAGTTACAGCACTGTTTTATTCCAGGGCATGGCTGTAAATGAAAAAGGCAAGCAAGCTAAGTTTCTAAATGCATCTGGTTGTGCTTCTTGGGCTGCTCTGCTGAAGGCGGTTTTCTGTGTCTCACCTCTCCCTTTCTCCCGGCGCAGCTTCACGGATGCCCTGGTGAAGATCAGGAACCGGCACAACGAGGTGGTGCCCACCATGGCGCAGGGCATCATCGAGTACAAGGAGACCTTCGGCCAGGACCCGCTCACCAGCCAGAACATCCAGTACTTTCTGGACCGGTTCTACATGAGCCGCATCTCCATCCGCATGCTCATCAACCAGCACAGTAAGTCCCCTGGGCCGGCTGCCTGAGACGTCCCCCTCACTTCCTGGGCTGCGGGGGGGTCCCAGTCCCGGGCCTGGTGACCCACACACTAACTGAGGGCTCCGCTGGCACAACAGGCCAGGTGACCCCAATCAGACGCTTCATTGCCTTAATAATAAATCATAGGGTTAAGTTAAACAGCTCCCTCCCAGCTCTTATGCATGTTGGAGTTATAACAGCTGCCTTTTAAGAGATCAGGAACAAGTAGTAGGTTTATTCCATGCTGGAAAAAATGAAAGAAAACACAACGTTTCAGCCGTGGAGCCTTCTTCCTCACACCTGAAGAAGGCTCCACGGCCGAAACGTTGTGTTTTCTTTCTTCCAGCTGGAATAAACCTATTACTTGTTCCTTTACAGCCTGTGCATGCTGACGTTGCTACCCACCTGAACTTTTAAGAGATAAGATCACTTTATTGGCAATATACATGTAATTTCTTGTATTAGGAATTTTTACCCCAACTTGCTCTCCATGAGACACACAGGGGAAAAAGAAAAAGAAAAGCAGTTCTTCCCCCATCTTGGGCACTGGTGGTGCAGACTCAGCCCTTTGCCCTGTTGCCCCTCTGTGTGTACTGCCCACTCCCTTGTGCCATTGCTCATTCACCCACCTCCTGGCAGCAGCCGCCACCCTTGACCCACTCGTGTACCCTGGCTCACCCAACCCGCCCCCCCCCTCTGTCTCCGCAGCTCTGATCTTTGACGGCACGACGAACCCAGCGCACCCTAACACGATCGGGAGCATCGAACCCCACTGCCAGGTGGCTGAGGTGGTGAGAGGTGAGGGTTCTTCCTTCTCGGGGTGGAGTTGCCGGGTGAGAGCGAGCAGGGCTGGCACAGACCTCTGCCAGTCAGCACAGGGGAGGAAACGAGAGGCGCAAATTGGCGCACCTGTAATCTGGGTGGCACGGCCCTGAGCAGAGTGCAGAGTCTGATGCAGATGCTTGTTGCGGAAAGCAGGTTTATATACTGTGGGGCAGTGCATATTGTGGGATACTTGTGGTTCCAAAGACTTGTTGGCCTTTACTGCTATTTTTTCGTATTTTCTCATTTCTTGTCCTTTTCCGGTTGTTTCCAGATGCCTACGAAAGTGCCAAGATGCTCTGTGACCAGTATTACTTGGGCTCCCCGGAGCTGGAGTTGGCAGAAATCAACAGTACGTAAAGGAAGGGTCAGCCAGGGCCTGTGGGCACAGTCTCACACCCTGCTCTTCCTCGCTCTCCGCCTCGGCATTGAAACCCGTCTTTATTGACGGGGGACCTGCAGTCCCAATTACTCAGACCCCTTGTTAAATCTTGGTAACAAAATATATTAATTGACAGTAGGGGCAAACGTTTGCAAATTTCGAATGAAGCACAAAATTGTCAACGCAGACCCCTGGTCTCTCCAGAGTTCACGAGAGTTGTACATGATGTTGCCCTTCCTGGTCACTAGTCACTGTAATGACTAAGATGGGCAGGTTGTGCAGCAGACATTTCAACTCTGAAACGTTCCAACATGATCTGCATGCTGAGATATGTTGTTCTTGTTGGCAAGCCCATCTCGAAGTTGAGAGCAATATTTCTATAGGGCCACTTCACCTCACTGGAAGTTTTGTTGCCTTGTTCTGAGTTGCATAGCATAGTCTCTGAGCATACCTGGAAATGTAATCTATTTTGATGTAAATTGGTGGTTTCACACGTTACTTATGTACATTTTACTTTCATTGTGGTTTGAAACGCGCTCATCAGTGCTGATTCTTTCTAACCCCAAATATAAAATTAGCATCGCTGTTCCCCTTTAAATAGACTGCATGACGTTTTCATTCAGCACTGCAGGAACAGAAACAAAAGGACAGCCATGCACTTAGGGGAACTGCTTTTCTCAATGCAAAGCCTTAAATGAAGCAATTGCAAAATGCTAGAGGCTATAGAATCCTTCCTGGTACTGAAGATATTGGCTGTTGTGACACAGTGCCTCATGATTTTAACAATATTTGCATGTAAACAGTACTTGTAACACAATAGCCTAAATGCAGGTCTGGGGAAGACCGAGGGTACAGAAAGACAGGACCAGTTTTCATCAAGAAATGTATTTGTGGTTGTTCAATGTACCTGGGCTTCTAGGGATAAAAGTAAACTTGTGTTTCCTTCCCTCTTCAAGCTAAAGATAAGAGGCAGCCCATTCAGATGGTCTATGTGCCCTCCCACCTCTACCACATGCTGTTTGAACTTTTCAAGGTAAGAACCTGTCTTCCTAACTTGGAAGGCCCAGGCCAGGATGAGCACTCTGTGCACTGGAGGAAGTGGTGGTGACTTCCTGTTTCTCCTTGACAGAACTCCATGAGAGCCACTGTGGAGACCCACGAGGCCAGTCGCACCCTCCCACCCATCAAAGTCATGGTGGCCCTGGGTGGAGAGGACCTGTCAATCAAGGTAGGTGCAACCCGCTGTTGAATCCGATTGGCTCAGCAGACCAGTAGGGTTTCCAGTCACGCCAAGAATGAACCGCATTTTTAGATGGCAACTGGAAGCCTGGACTGTTGCTTGACCAGTTTTCAATCTGTCGAATATTGGAACCCAGGAAAGGCCATTGAGCAGATCAGCACTGAGAAGCATCTTAAAAGTCTTAAGAAGCTCGTGAGCCTCTCAGTGATGATTAATTTAACCAGTAATGTCAGTCAAAGATAAAACATCAAAACATTCAATTTGTCAATATTTCATCTGATCTAAGACTCAGTGCAGTCCTGTAGGTTTACTGCTATGTACAGAGTTTTGAGTAGCACTGTCTGCATTGTGCACCAGTACAATAGATGTTCATGAAACAAGGACAGTCTTCTGTGAACATCGTATCAGATTGCAGAAGTGTGAATTGCTCAGTTAGTTGAACAATCCTACCTTTCCACACCTTACTGTTACACTTTTATTTATCTTCTCCACGCTTTGGTCACAGCGCTCAATGGCTGGGAACCAGGGTGCCCTTTAAAAAAACAGAACTCTTCTTCAGTCTGACAGGGGTGCTGGGAGTCCAGTTAACGATCAGACAGGCTTCAAGGCACAGGGCTTGATGGTGTCAGTATTCTCTTTCCATTGAAACAGGCATCACAGCTTTTTACAGTGATCTGGGTTGTAAGCCAAAAGTTTGCAGCTCCACCTGCTTTGCTTTTTAGAAACTTGGGTGATGTGCAAAAAGTTTAGAATGGTGTGGTTTTGTTTCACACGTTAAAAGGGACATTGTGCTGGAATACTTTGTCAGCTGCTCTATTGCAAAACTCTTGGTGAAAATAACCAAGTGCAGAGAGACACCAGGGGTCAGACGGGGTTGTTGGAAGAGTGAAACTGGGGCGAGTGGTCGGTGTCACTGGGCAGGCCTGTGCATGAGCAAACGGCAGCTCGGTCAAGAAGCCTCCAGCTCTGGGGAGCGGGGAATTGTGGGTAGGGTCAAGCCCCAGGGGGGCACGGGGAATCATGGGGTCAGGGTCGGGCCCTGGGGCTGGGCAGGAGCAAGGGATCATGGGAAGTGTGTTTCTGGCATGCTGCAGATCTGCCAGGCAGGGCGATGCCTCCTGGACTGCTCAAGACCCACTTTCTCACCCCCGCCTCCTTGATCTTTCTCTCCGCAGATGAGCGACAGAGGCGGCGGCGTTCCCCTCAGGAAGATCGAGCGGCTGTTCAGCTACATGTACTCTACTGCCCCCACCCCGGAGATCAGCTCACAGCGCCCCCCGCTGGTGAGTTTATTATTATTTTTTTGTCCACAGTGCATCACAGCATTTGGTCTGTCCCCTCTGGGCTTCGGCAGAAATTGGGGTCGCGCCTTCCCGAGCCCAGCAGTGGCGATCCCCTGGAGTTTTCACAAGCTGTAGGTCCTTGGGCAAATGGAAGTGATGAGGTGGAACAAGCAGCATCCGAGCTCCTGTCAACTCCATGTCGGCCTGCGTAAATGCGCCGCTGTTGACTTGCATGTCACTGGAGTGGAACTTCTGTCATGTGACTGAGTGCTGTGCTGTGAGCCATTTCTATCAGTACGATTGATCACGGAGCACTCCGTGTATCCACAATCGCACACACCTACCTGCTGGAGCACACAGTCATGCAGACGCCAGTCCCAGGAGGTTTCAGAGTCCCCCTCCAAGCCTCGATCAGCGAAGGGCTGTTCTGACCCTCTGGAGATATCGGTGCAGATCAGTGGCTCTATCAGCTGCGATTCCATCGAAGGAGTTGATCCCAGTGGGTGCCAGATGCCTGATCCCTCTGTTTGTCCGCAGGCTGGGTTCGGATACGGGCTCCCCATCTCCCGCCTCTACGCGCAGTACTTCCAGGGGGACCTGCAGCTCTACTCGATGGAGGGTTACGGCACAGACGCCGTCATCTATTTGAAGGTAAATTCCATTGCGGGACTTTGAATCCTGGAGCTGGGTGGATGGGGGGCATCTGATAGGTTAAGGAACACTTCCGAACGAAGACGCTGAGGTCTCGAGAAGTTGAGAAATGCAAACGCAGCACAACACATAGCATGAAACAGAGCAAGCACAAACATAGGAGTGCCTGGCTCTTCTTCTAGGGCCAGATGGTTGGTGTCTGAGTCCACTGCAGTTACGCTGCTTGGGAGTGGATGAATTGCCAGGGCTCTGTCTTGTGATGTTTCATGCACATGGGTGTCATTCTTCAGTGGGGCTGTTCTGTCAGTTCAGGATCTGTTCAGTCAGTTGACCTAGGTGTACCATGGAGGAGTACCAGTTTTGGTAGAGAATGTGATCTGTAGTTACTTCAGTACTGGTGGTGTCTGTTATTTCCCCCTGTGAAATCTGTGGAAGTTACATTTCATCTGCTGCTTCCCTGTTTTCCGCCAGGCCCTGTCGACAGACTCCATAGAGAAGCTGCCCGTCTACAATAAATCCGCCTGGAGACACTACAAAGTGAGCCTGGAAGCAGATGACTGGTGTATACCCAGCAAGGAGCCCCTCAACCTGGCTGGCAATAGGGCAGCAAAGTGAGGGCAGAGAGCAAGAGCATAGCGTGGCACCAACATACCCGTCACCTTGACAACTGAACTCTCACCCAGGAAGTAAACGGAGCCTACCACTCCGGACGGTTGGAAGAGACCAGTCTCCAAAGTCACTGTGCAGCCCTCCTGACTGGCTGACCTCATAGGAAATCACACGGTAGCTTAGAAGGCCTCACATTCACAAGGAACAAACCTGCCGCTAGAAAGAACGCAGACATTTGTCCAAGCCGAAGTTAAAAATGGGACAGCAAACTGTTTGCTTATCGTTACATTGTCAACCACTGGCATTTTTAATTTCCCAGAGCTGAGGGATCATTTTATTAATGTTTTTTTTTTAATCTAAGCAGAGCTTTGAGTTAAAGCCTTCGTGTTACCTTGCGTGAGCAGTGCAGGGACAGGCAGGGTGGCTGTTCGGCTCTGCGGTTCTGTCTGCGCTGCTTCGGAGAGGCAGGGGGTAGTGAACTTCTGAACGCCAGCAGCCAGAAAGTGCCGAAGGCCGGCGGACGTTGGCCTGTTGTGGGGGCGTTTCGGACCCGATGGGATCCGCACTCAAGCCGGTTAAGGGGAGGACGGAGGTTAGCGTCTTTGTGAGCGGACCACAGCTCAGCTCTTGCGGAGGCAGAGGAAGGAGTCTGACCCAGACAGGTTCCGCCTTGCCAGCCCGCTTTTTTACCTGAGTGAAGATGTTTTATTTCTGCGATGATCTGTGGTTTTTAGGTTTTAGCAGTTTGTCTTTTTATCAGCTCTGGGCTTGGGTTTCTGCATAAAGATTTTGTTTGTTTGTTTTTCTGTTTGTTTCAAAGGGGAGATCCTGGTGCCTTGTGGCGCCGTAATTCTCAGAATGTACTGTAAAACGCAGCCAAAGAAGTCACTTCTGGTGTGGTGGTGGTCTTGGAAACCAAGTCACACTTGGCAGTAGGTGGGTGCCTACCCTTCAGTCTGCCAGTCCTCTCCTGCTAATTCCAGAAAAGCAGGCAGGTGGAGGGTTTGAGGTCAGTTGTGTAGAATATCCATCACCTCCGCTCCCACTGTGTCTGGAAGTGGTGCCGGTTCATCTCGTAGTGCAAGCAGAAACTGAACAGGCTTTTCTCCTGCAACGCAAACCCCAGCCTACTGCCACACCAGCATGTGACCTGAGTTGCCATAGGTCGTGGTATTGATTTCTAAAGCTACAACACTTGTGGACTTTACATGGAATTATGTTTTTGCACAGGTGTTTGATTGCCAGTATTGATGCTCCACTGTTGTAAAATCTGTTTCACAAGGTGTTTGAGATTGTTGGTTATTCACTAGACCTTTCTGGGTGCAGCCTAAGCTGTTTCAGAGTCCCAAGTCTATTATCAATGCAATTATTTTTTTGTTTTTAGAAGTGAGTGTGCTTGGAAATAATCGTGTGCAAATTAAGAGTGCTAAATATTCAGTTCTGGGGCATTTAGCCTTCCTGATGGAAGTGTACTGATTGATGCTATTCCAGATTTCAGATAGCAGGGACCTTGCTCTTCTGGAAATGGGGGGCTTCTTATGCACAGTTGCCTGAAAGTTTCACAGCAGTTCCACTCCCCTCTCCTGTGGTCCTTGTGCCAGCTGGAGTTCTTGCAGTTCGGATTGGAGGTGGGGGAGACCGTAATCAAACAGCCACTAGGCTTGACAACTGCCACCTTGTGTCTGGGTGTTAGCTGAAGTAAATTACACTTCCCTTATGGCCTGCAGTAAGATGGGGTGTGTGTTCCTAGGTGTGTAAGGCAAGTCTAATGGTGACTTTATTGGCTTAGCACACAAGTCCCTTTTGCGGGCTGGCATACAATGGAGATTGATTAAATGCCTGTACAATGAACTGTTGTGCAGTAGGGTAACGTGGGGACAGGCCCTTAGAAAGTAGAGGAGCTTCAGCCTCTTTCTTAGCAAAGAAGTGGGGCCATTTTTGCTCAAATGCTTAAGAAAGAGGCTCTATAGCACAACACCCCGCAAGCTGCTACACACAAACAAGCTTTAATAAATGTGGTTTCATTCGAAGTTGAAGTTAAAGTTTGTCTTTATTCTGCTATGTCCTTTCATTCCACACCCTGCTGTGTTTAAGAGAGAGAGGTGTGTTCTGGAGCTGGAGAAGACCCTGTTGTAAGAGCCAGCGTCGGTCCCAGATTGCTAGACACTTTTTTTTTAAGGAGGTTCTCATTTCACTTTTAATGTATATTTTGAAATTTCATATTTTTGTAATGGATTTTTGAAGTGGGGGGGGAGGGAAATACTTGTAGAAAACCATAAGCTAATAAAGAAATACATTGGAAAGAAAAGTGTGGAGTTGTTTTCTGCTAGCGCCGGTAGCTCGGAGAGAGTGGCGCCACCTATGGGCTGATCAACACCGTTTCCTCAATTGAGAGCCAGGTGCTGCCAGGTCAGACTGGTTTTGCCTGCAAGTCCACCAACCCTGGTCACAGACCAGGCCCCCTAAGTGCCGAGACATCACAGAATCAGGTTACAAGATGGTAATCTAGTAGCAACTAATAACCTGCAGCTCTTGTTTTAGCAGCTCTTTAAAAGCAGGATCATTTTTAACACCGATGCAGCCATGCTGTATGTACACCTTTATACATTTCCAGTAGGTAGCTGCGCCAACTTGTGTCTGTTGTAAAGAGAAGAGACAACGTTTCGGCTGTGGAGCCTTCTTCAGCATGGAATAAACTTTTACACATTTCCTCTCTTTATCCAAAGTAAAGATAAAGATACCTTTACCAGCCAGCCAGATACACATCGAGTGAGCTGAAACTAGTCGTGTTTTTGACGCAGTGAAATGTGACGAAGATCAATTCAGCAATACTCGGAGGGTAAGGACAGGTCAGGCGTTGGAGGCAGTAGATGAGTTTCTAATTCTACCACAGCCAAAGAAAACAGTGCTTTTGGGGCCTTTGAACTGTTTCCACACACACACCACACTGCCAATCGCTTCAAGTTCAGCACCCCTCCAGTCCAATGTACTCTGAACCAGGTCTGGTTATTTCCCAACCTGCAGAAAATGTCCTCATCTTACTCCTGTTGATCATCTCTGACAGCTTTTTTTTTTCCTTTGATGAGGCATTTCTCAAGTTAACGCACACACCTGCTGATTAATGTTCTCAGGAACAATGGCACACTAATGCCTTTCAATGAGAAACTCAAAACAAGCTGAAATGAGGCAGAAATACATTTATACCTAAAACAGGTGGCACTTTTTTTTTTATACAAAGGGGTTGTGCGGAGTCTGGAACAAGCTACCCTGCCACATTGTCAAAGCTGGATGAAATCCCAGTCAATCGGAAGTCCAGGTCTGTGCGCCCTGCAGTAAACAGTTTGGAAAACTTGAGCTTGACTTTTCACATGCATATCTGACTTCTCCATAGGAATCCAAACATTCAACATTTCTGAGTGCATTTCACATCACATCGAATCTGTAACTTCATTATAGTCTGTTGTTAGGATGAAACTGAAAACTGGGGTGTTGTCAGCATAGATCTGGATGACCAGGAGCTGTTGTTGATAGTATAGTTCACCCTATAAATCTTAGCATGAGCGTTCTGCTTAACGTTTGTGCGTCTCCATCTGCTGTTGTACGTACGGAAGAGATAAAGGGATAGAATGCATGGAGAACTGCAGAAAAATAGCACAAGCTTTGCTCAATCAAGTCCCCCGGAGAACAGGACTCACCCCAGCCTTTGAGTCTCAGCTCTGGTTAATAAAAAACCTGAGGTCTCTGGGCTGAAATCCCAGAGTTCCTCCTTCTGGAAAGTTGGCAGGCTGGTGTAGCACAGACAGGGCGTGACAGTGCTGTGTAACTGAAGCTTGGAAGGGTACCTCATCACTTCTATTGATCCCTCCACTCATTTGTCCCAGCTGCCCATCCTACTGATCTGTAGTCACACGTAGTTCTCCAGCGCTGCATCGCCCCACCACTTCCCATCCCTGCTCTGTGGTTGCTGTGACGGATTGCAATGCAAAGCGATCTGAAAAGTGGCTCCACTACGCCCTCTATGTCCCAGTAGCACCACCGCAAGAGCTCGCTGCCAAGTGGGTGCAGAGGTCGTCTCACGGTCAACACTGAATCACACGTTCTAACTGGTTTCCTCAGGAGAGAAAAGCACGACGTGCACCCCCCTGCAGCTGGCCACTGTCCTGCAGTGTCCAGGTTTAAACAGCAACATCGCAACAACATCAACTACCACGGAGACATCCTCTCCTCTGCATCACTCCTGTTTCTAATAAAAGAAGGATGACCAGGAGCTGCAGCAGGAACCTTTAAGAGCTCTGGCCGACCTCGTCCTCACTTGCTCAAACAAGGCTCAGTGATAAAACAGCAGCATCACGCTGGAGGCTGGCGGCTCATCAGGCTCGAGTCGAACCCGGTTTCTGTAATGGAAAATGGACTGAGGCTTCTTCTATTGGATGGGACCCTAGTATGTCAAAGGGTTGCTTCCAGCAAGCTGGTACCCATCTATGCCTCTGGGTGAACAGGAACAAGTGGGGTGAAGTGCCTCAATCAAGGGCGCACACGTCACAGCCCTAATTCCCAACCTAGCTAGCCAGGCCATCGGTTTTATCCGGGGGGTTCACCATCTCTGCTGTGGCGACAGAGCCATAAGAACCCCCCAAACTATTTCAGGACAGGCAGACTGCCCTCCTACCCCGATCGATAGGCCTGCTTTGGAAGGTGGGTGTGAGAGCAAGACCACCATGCTCTGGGTGGAAAGGGACACTGCCCAGCCCAGCACGTGCGGGATCAGTACCGGTACCCGACCGTGGTGGTGCTCATCTGCTTCAGACAGGCTAACCCAGCCTCGCTCTGTCATCCTACTGGATTTTCAACACAACAGGAGGGTGGGAAAACACGTTTACGAACCAGAGCCTCGGCCCGTGCACACCAGACAGCACATCTAAAGTGTCACAGCCCTGCTGCTGCTGCTCTTTCCACACTGGAACTTCAGAGACCGTCTTAGAGACACTTTTCCCCAAATGAATAAGCTACTTATAGACTCCCGTCTGAGGTCAGTTTCATGATTGACCAACCTATCTAAGAAGGGTTACAACTAAGAGATGTCCATTCTGCCCACTACACTACCAAACCGCTTATGTTATTAATCTTAAACAGTTTCTAAAAAGACGTCTGGAAACTGGTTTCAAAGACACGGCTGGGCAGCTTTTTTCAGATACCCACAATGCCTCCTGCTCTCGGTTTTGACTGCCCTTCTCTGTACAAAAGCCATGTGCAAACGTGTGTGAATCTGGTACGTCATGCCCTGGTGATTTTGGCAAATGGTTCAAGGACGGGACAGGTGCAAAACACGAGGCTCTAGCACGCTGTGATCTGCCTAGACTTTCCTGTCCAGCAGCCTCCAGCTCGGGGAAAACAAGAGCGTGTGAGAGCTCGTCGATGAGTCTCCCTCCGGTGGCGTCAGTCCTGAAATCTGCCATCGACAGCAGAGTGCGGCTCGTTCTCGGACGCCACACTGCACCCGCTGTCACTGACACAAGACCAGGTCCCCTGACACAGGGGGCTCAAACGCACTCGAGACTCTGGCAGAGTGACGTCACAGCGACACTTCCAGCCCATGTACGATAGCAGCAGGCAGGAAAGGTTTTCCATGAATAGACGCCTTATTTGGCCGCCAGCGTGCTGTTTACCAGGGCTGTGGCTGTTGTGCAACGAGACGCCAGGCGACTGCTCTAGGATTGTTTCCGCGGGGCGCCGCTCAAGATGATCTTGCGGAAAACACGGCCTGTCCCCTTCACAGAGGCTCTGAGAGAAGGGGCCTCACTGCAGCAGCTCTTGGCAGGCAGGGAGACTCTCACAAGTCTGGCTTGGAGCCAGGGATTCCTCAATGGGCAGAGAGGATCCGTTTCCAGCAGCTGTGCCGGACGCGTTTATCACAAGGGCGGGCCGCGGACCAGAAAGAAAACAAGCACACTTTCACAAGCTGACCCGTGCAGCAGGAGGAACAATTCCTCGCCGTGTTGCCTCTGTAAACATACGGGCCACTGCTGGCTGGATCCCATCTAAGAGCCCTTTTCAAATCCTTGGGCAGGCATGCAGGCAGAGGGCTCCCCAGCCTCTGAGTGCAACTGAACCCTGTTTCGGCACACACCCAGACCTTTGCCTCTTCTTGGCCCCGTAATAAAAGATTTTACTTCGTTAAGATATTTAGATAAGTGATGTAAAATCACTTTATCGGCCATACACAATTTCTTGTATTAGGAATTTGTCTTTTAACACTCCCCAGCTTGCTCTCCACGAGACACAGGCAGGGAGAGAAGCTGGGGGTCAGAGCGCTTGGTCAGCCATTGTACAGCGCCCCTGGAGCAGTTGGGGTTAAGGGCCTTGCTCAGGGGCCCAACAGAGTAGGATTCCTCTGCTGGCTGCGGGATACGAACCGGCAACCTTCCAGCCACAAACACAGATCCTGAGCCACAGAGCCACCACACCACCACCACGTGTAGCGTTTTAAGTAAAAAAAAATAGGCTGCTACCATCTTCCGCTAGGCATCAGAGATAACAGGGGGATCGACTACAATAAGACTTGCACAAAGAGCTGAGGGAGCGTGGATCAAGCCAAGCACGCCGTGCTGTTGAAGCTGATACCCTGGCTTCTTTCAAGAAACAACTGAATGAGATCCTTGGATGTTATCTACTATGGAACAGGCTAGATGGGGCCAAAAACTGCAGCAGGGTGTACATTCCCCATCAACGACTAAGTCTTTCCCCCTGTCATGCAGGCAGACGGGGTCTAGGCTGGCTGCACTGGATTACATTCTACAAGAGCTCCCTTGCAGTTTCACCAGGGACTGCCTATGGTGCTCCTTCACACTGAAGTCTTTTGAACAGCTCTCCTTTAGCAGTATGCCTTCCCCCTCTGCCCCCCGCACACACCAGCCCCTGGCTTTGTTCCTTACCATCGCCAGCGCGAGCAAGCAGCCTCCTCCTGGCCTCCCTGGCCCAGCCCGACCGGGAACACCCCGAGCCCGCTCTGCCCAGCTGAGGTCACAGGCCTGGTCTCTGGCGCCCCACTGGTGCCATGTTGGCCCTCACTGCCGCTCTCCTGCCGAGCGTGAACCGCTGGCCTGTTGCGCTGGCAGGGTGTCCACAGGGCCGCGGGAGTCGTCGGGGGACAAGTGGAGCCAAGATGGGTGCATCCACAGCCAGGCACTGGAGCCAAGAGAAAATCGGCAGATACCTCGGTGCAGCGGACGTGCCCAGCAGGGCCTCACGCTAACCTCCCATTCCCAGGCACCCCCTGGCTTTCCGACAGCCCCAGGCCGACATCCAAGCAGGGGACGAGCGCAGCTCAGCTGCCAGAGGGATCCGATCCTCGCCTATGCTACGGCAGCATCGCCCTTCGCCAATTTCTGCCGCATCTCGTTTTGTTGATCTGCAGGAAACAAGCAAAGAAAGCAGCCCTATAGAAAAGAGTGCAAGGGTGGGGGTCACGGTAGCTTAACCCTGTCATACACCACAGTTCAGGCCCAGGGATCCCCCCACCAGGGCTGGATTCTGGTGTCTGTTGTTCCTTTCACTCCGAAGTGTACACAAAGAGGGGTCAACGTCCATTCAATGATGTCGATTGACATGATGCACTTTAAACTCTTCTGTTTAAACCACGATTGATGGAGCGAGTCCAGCGACCATCACTTCGATACTTCTAGTTTCTAGAACAGCCGCTGGCGAGCGTCCGATTATCGATTTGGAGCACCTAGAGTCGATCGCAAGCAAGTTGTGTCAGCTCGTTTCTTTTGTTAGTCACTAGTGTTACCCTCCTTTGTCCTGACTGGCCTTCCTAAAGTTTCTCCCATAAGCCAGTCCCACACTCCTGCAGAGGACCGGGGCTGAGGACGCCGGGCTGGAGCCTATAAAATAACACTCCTCACGCCAACCTCAGTCGCACAGCCCCTGGCCAAGGGCTGGCGTTGCCACTGGGACTGTGTGAATCGAGTGCGGCCAGCCATGGCTTGTCCAGATCCTGCTTTAACCTGAGGGAACCCCGTTAAGCGACAAATAGCAGGGCTCCAGCAGTCCCCCCGACACATCCAGGGACAGCTCAGTGTGGATGCAGATTTCCAGCAGGCCCACCTCCCAGCCACCTACTGGCAAGACTGGCATCACGAGAGCAGCACTCACTCTATTTCAAGACCAGCCACTACAGGCTTTATACTGTGGAAATCAAGTGTTTTCCAGAAGGGCAGAGCTTAAGAAAACCAGAGGTGAAGTTCCCTTCCACTACAACTTGAATAAAATGAATTAAAGTTAAGTTTCTAAACTTTGACGTACTAAAACAAATCCAGAGCCGGAGAAAGAGCATGGGAAAAGGGTGCCCCCTGGTGAATTGGGAGAAAATGAGCACTGAACCCAAATTTGACTGGTAAAAAGGAGAGGATATTAATTTCCCTCGACGTGTGCATGAGAATGTTTTGGGACAAATGAAAGAAAAAAAATCAGCGCATTAAAACGATGAATGATCCGGGGTACACCTTTATTTGGGGACAAACCATACGTCCTAATAAAAAAATAAAATAAACAACAATTTATTTCAATAAGGTGAAAAAGTGATCTGTGTAGGGTTGAAAGTGCTGGTCTCCTCTAATTCGCACACAAATCTTAACATCGTCAAATGCCTAAACAAAACAAACGAAACGTGAGTGAGCTTGGGGTAAGTGTCATTTTTAATAGATTATCTGGTGCCCTCTTGTGGAATTCTGCTGTACACACATTCAAAAGTTAAACCACAGCGGACAAAGGAATTCAAAAACGTGTAGACGCTACAGATTTACACAGCAGCAGATAACTTTTCCAGACGATTGCATACCAGTCTAACTCCTCAGGTACCCTTAAAAAAAAAGTCTACGCGCACATCAAGAACTCAGATTAGCTGATCAGGGCATTTTCAAAACTAGGCCCT